GCTGTCCAAAAATATCGCCTTTCTGGAAGCAATTATGCAAAAACAGACAAATACCCTGTCAGGCAGGTGACAGGGCAATATATGTGATGTTCTTCCAGCGATTTTGGAAATACCTGATTTTATTTTTCTGGTTGTTAACATTTAACAAAAATAAACACAATAAAATCTAATCAAAATATTTTGACCTTTTTCTGTATAGGCTATACTAATCAAACAACTTAATTAGGAGCTCTATTTGTGTTTTCAGAAAGCCAATGATTCACTTTTAAAAAGCAGCTTCCTTCACATTTATTCTCAGCTCACCATGTCTTTTCAAGCTTCATATTGCAGCTGCTGGTGGAGGTAATCAAAAGGATCTGCAGCTGATGGGGGTGCAGTTTCCTTCTCCTTCAAGAAATTGTGTTGTATCTTATTTCTTAAGGAAAAACATCCAGCAAAACTAAATCATATTTCACTTATGATGCCAATGTATTTTGGGGATTGGTGGAGAACCTTTCCTGTTACTCTCATTTGTAACAGACCAAATGTAGATTATTTTCATCGTATTATCAATGTGGCCAAACGAAACTCAATCTCGGAGCCCACCGGCTGTTGTCTGATGAGGAATTAACCTCTGGGGGCAAGGGCCGGTATTTTGGGGCTAACAGAGGATATCTGGGCCAGGACTTTGACGTCTGTTCACCGTACGGTGTTTACAATCTGACAAGATTCTTTTATTACAAGAGTCAGACAAGAGTCTGAGTTCATGAGATTAGACAAAAGCACTGTTTTTTCTAAAACACTCTCTGTCTTCTTATGCGTATAAGATTTCCCTCCAGTAATTTTACCCAAAACTAAAACAGTAAATCCATAACTTCAATTGTAGGACACAGAGTTTTGGGAATAAAAACATCCTTCAAAAAGTAGATGATGTCCTGAAAGCTTCCGGCGCAAAAAGCTGTTTATCGCCACAAACGACTCTGCAGCAGAAAGCCTGACTAACAGCAGTGTGCTCAAAGAAAAGCCACATGGAGCAGACCTCCTAACTCTCAGAAAGTTTTTTATTCTGACAGTATAAGACACGTTTGGTACAGCTTAGGCAAAAACACAACCAAGTTCTAATTTGTGACCGAGCTGGGTTTTAAAGGCCACTGAGGCTTTTTGTTTCTCTCTGGGCACCCCATGTACCCTGAAGAGAAGCCAGGGGTTTGATAAACCCCAATTCAAAGGGGCCACATGTTCCCTCCCAGTGTGTAATGCTGCTCTGTGGCCCCATGATGTCATCCAGAATCAAACCGCTCCCGAGGTGGCAAACATCACAGAGACACAGTCGAGATTGGTCTTATATTGACCAACAAAGAGAAGGAGCCACGGACAGACACGCACACACACAGTGTTCATGGTGGACCACGCAGCCTGACAATCGGCTGGCTCAAAGCCCAGCTCCCCCTCAGGCTGCAGCAGAGTGGATTCAAAAAACTGGGATTTACATTTGAGCAACATCCTATTTATACATTTCTTTGGTCATGACTTGCAGCTGCATTTGTCTTAAACTGTCTTTAATTGGAATACATATCATATCAATTTCATTTTAACTCACAATATCGGACTCAAAGTCTCAGGTGCAACATTCAGCAATTTGCCTTCAAAGTAAAAGCACATTTGTTTTGTTGCTGCAATGTTTCATATTGAGCTGAATAACAGAGCCTTTATTTTGAGTTGTGAACATCAGTTAAGTAAATCTTTGTAACTTAGCTATAGGCCACACATCTGAATATTATTAAAGTAAATTGAGTTTCATTTTATGGAAAACATACTCTGGAATGTTGGTGTAAATGAACATAAAAAGGTTGAACATGAATGCACATCGGTTTCAATGCAGATAAACCAGGTAGGATGAATGTGCAGTTTTCTAGCTTCACTCTGCTCTGCACACAAACACCAAAAAGTGAAAGTATATTGCTAAACTGTTTGGGGAGAACTCACTAATGGCAAGGAATAATTCTGAAGTAGCTCTGGAGCGTTAACACAGGACAAGAGAACATCCCATTACAAACAGGCAGGTTTAGAATGGGCGCTGCATTACTAAGTTAATACAAAGGTTTCAGTGGTGCAGTCCTTTTGGTGCTGAGGTGAAAGTTCATCACAAAGTCCTCCATGAAGGCTGCCTGGAGGCTCTGCTTCACTGTTTTCCTTTTGCTAAAGAAGCATTTCTTCAGGATTAGGTACTCTTTTAAAAAAAAAGCTAATGCTGAAAATGAAATTAAAATTATACCAGTGATAAATTAAGAAATCCCTGCAGGCAAGGTTTCCACCAGAGACTGTTTAAAAACAGGGAACACTCTGCTGTCTGCTGCTCAATGTCACCACTCTTGATGATGACACATTTACACATGACATTATTAAATTGTTTGAAAACCCACAGAGATGATGTTTAAGACCTTAATTAAATGAAACAAAGAACCAGATAACGTCTGTCTAAATATGTTTAATTCACTGTCATTTTAGTTTAATAATTACATTTCATTTAGCTGACGCTTTTATCCAAAGCGACTTACAATATGTGCATTCAAATATCATGGTACAAACCCAGAACAGCAAGAATCATTAGCATTAACTTCAAAAGCAAAACCACAAATAATACATGTAAGTGCTACACATCAGAGCAAGTAAACTTTATTTATTTATTTATTTTTTGAATTGGATATTAGACACCATCTCCTTAACCAAGGTGTAGTCAGGAGAGATGAGTCTTTGGTCTGCGGCAGAATATGTGTAGACTTTCTGTGTCAATGGGAAGCTTGTTCCACCATTTGGGAGCCAGGACAGTAAACAGTTTTGTTGAGTGGCTAGTTGTCCCTCACAGTGAGGGAGCAGGAAGCCGATTTGGCCGATGCAGAGCAAAGTGGACAGGCTGGGGTGTAAGGTTTGACCATGTCCTGGATGTAGACTGAGCCGGATCCGTTCGCAGCACATAGCGTCTTGAAGCAGATGCGAGCAGCCACTGGTAACCAGTGAAGGGAGCGGAGGAGCAGTGTCATGTGACTGAACTTAGGTAGGTTGAAGCCCAGTCGAGCTGCTGCATTCTGGATGAGCTGTAGAGCCTTACCCTAGAAGGAAAAGTAGTCTGATCCTGTCGAGGTTGATTTTCAGATGGTGTGCGGACATCCACTGAGAGATGTCAGACAGACAGGCAGAGATTCCTGCTGCTACCTGGGTTTCAGATTGGGGAAAAGAGAGAATTAGTTGGGTGTGATCTGCGTAGCTGTGGAAGGAAAAGCCATGTAAGTGAATGACAGAGCCGAGAGAGTTGGAGTACAACTATCTCGGCTAGTGATATCTAGTGTTGAAGTTGCATGTTACAGCTGAACACCCCTCACCTCACCCTCTCCTTCCAAACATGAAAAAGAACCTGTGGCAGTCTTCAGTTGTCATAAAAACTCAAAAGGTGTTTAGTTTGTCCAGTCTGGACTAATGTAAAAAACATGGCGGCCTTCGTAGAGAGGGTCCCCTCGATGTAAATATAAAGTATTTAAATATAAAGGGCCTTTTCTGGGGTAAAGAAAAATATGTCATACAATTTAGATGAAATAAACTAGTGAAAACATCATGAGGATTATTCTACATTAAATTTCTGCCAATAGTTGCTTGAACTCTTCCTCTCAAATGAAATAATGTTTGGATGTTCATTTTGCTGGTATTAATACCATATTGATTTTACAGTGGCAACAAAATGAACAAAGTGAACTACTTATTTTTTGCTATTTAGTTATTCATAAAGGTTAGCAAATACAGTAGCTGAATTGACAACACACCGACATCAGACGCCCGCCTGTCTACAAACCAATCAGTCAAGTATATGTAGAGGCAGCACATGTAGGTGATGATGTCAGTACGTGCGACATATGTCATACACAAGTCTTAGGCGTGCTCCCTAAATTACAATGTGAAACCAAAACTAACCAGATCAAATGTAAACGATTTATAAACAAATGAACACAATGAAAAAGTTCTAAAGCTCATTAACACTATTGAGTTACCTGATATTCAGGTTTATGTATTTAAAAGAGTCAATTCATATTCATTTACAAGTCCAACTTGTAAATTGTCAGATTTTAAGTTTTCATCTGCAGTACCTGAAATTAAACACAAAAACCTGTCTATCTTGGCCGAAGGCAGTGACTCCTGGTCCAGTATGTAACGGACCATAATAACACCATATAGTTTTTAGTTCCAGCATGTATTCTGATACATATAATGAGTTAACAAGTGCAGTGTAGAGGTGCTGGTGAGCAACTTCTTTAGTAGAGCCTCGCTCCCAGCTTACATGTGCTTCCTGTCTCTAGGTCACCTACCCAAGGAAGCAAATAAGCAACTAGAATTTGGTGCTGCAGACAGTACGTATGATTAAAAAAAGGCATATATCACCGGAACACAAAGCCCAAGTAAAAAATTGAATTTATGACTTAATAATAAAGAAGATCCATTATTATAAGGTTGTATACTGCAGCATGATTTATTAAACTTGATGAATGGATTACAACTCACTGAATACTTGATGAATGCCTGCACCTGTTTATCCTCCCAAAGGATAAACAAAGACTCCTATATGGGCAAATATTGAACCCCAAAATACCCCAGAAGATTGAACCACCAGAGTGTGATAGTGTGTCATAGGGTGCATGCAGGCAGTCATTTAGTCCCAATGAAATGATTAATCATTTTTATTACAGTCCTGTGAGGGCCACAGATAGCGGCTTTATTTTTCTTTTTTTTTATCGCCGGCTTTAATTGTTAAATTATTAAAGTGACATTGGTGAACTCAAAAAAGATCAGAAAATGTCAGGTTATTATAAGGAATGTTGTCAGTGGTAACTATACGACACACAGTAAAATATGTGTTGTTAGGTAGATTATATGAAATGACTCATTAAAAGGCACCAGATGTGTTTTGAAGGTAATAACTGTGTCCTGATAAGGAAACAGTGGGTGGATAATGTTTGACAGGACCGTGGTGATGACGGATCAAAGGTCCAAGTCTGTTTTCCTGGTTAGATCCACCTTCACACTTCAGAGGGATTTCTGTTTGGGACTGAGTGTAAATCTGATTCAGGTGAGTTTGTTTCTGAAAATACCCTCAGTCATTACCGCAGTGGATCTTATACAAACCGCTGTCCAACACATGTGCATATGTTAAATCCCAAGGCTTTACGGTGTGTGAAGGGAGCGGCCTCATCTTTGGCATCATGGTGGAGCTGGCTTTCTACCCAGCGGTTGCTCTGATATATTTTTTCGGAGTGATGAAAGCAACGCAGGATGATCGGGTGGAGCTGGACGACCGAGCGTCGATGAACGTGTTCTGTCTGTTCGTGCTGGTGCAGCCGCTGTGTCTGGTGCTGGGAGGATACACGGGCATGGCCACGTACCTTCTCACAGCTCTGGTCTCCTACAACTTTCTGCCTTGGAGGAAGAAGAAAGAACTCGCAAAGGGAAAAGAATCAAAGAAGAAGACAAAGTGAGAACAAAGAACACGCACTGTGTGGAGATTAAGAGAAACTGACTTCTGTGTAGGAGGACATTTTTTATATAATAAAGCATGTAAATCTTTCGGTGTGAATAAGTGAATGTGTTGCTAAACCATACAGCAGTCATTTAACCTGCTTCCATAAATCATCTGCAGTTGTATGCATCTGTGCTTTATAAAGGTACATTTAGTTCTCTGCAAAGACAGTGAGTCTTTTTATGATTCCTAATGCAGCAAATAGATCGGAAGCTTTCATTTAAAGCAATTAGCCATCATAGCTGAACTGACTAACAGAACATAGGATAAAGGCCTCTACGAAGATGTCAGCTACAAATAATAATAATCCATAAAGGCCAATGCTATCTCAAAACCAGACCTATAGAGTTGGATTCAACATTATTTTGGGATTCAATGTTATTTTTCAAATAATTTTCCTAATCCAAAATGTGAATCCATAATTTTAAGTGAGAAAATTGATGGATGATCAATGGACATTTTTTCCTTTTTATTACTAAATGGTAAACTGTCTATATTTACCTTCTGTTTATTGGGCGACTCACTCTATACACGGAATTGTGAATACATTCTGGGTCTTCATATGAAAGCATATTGCTCTGGAGCGTGTGAAGTTATTCAGTGAAGAATGAGAAAGAAGTAACTGCCTCTTCCCACCCTTGACTTTACATTGAACAACTGCATGTGTTGCCCTCTGAGTTTCAGTTGACTCTACATATGATTACAACTCTGTGGATACCTCACTGAACCCCACTGTGACCTATCTCTGAATGATTAAAACATTAAACACACACAGCCACACACAGAATTTTCAATTATCCAGCCATGTTCTCGAAGGACCGTGTGTCCCTCTGATGTGGCTAAGCCTGGTAGCGTGGAGTGTGTGTGATGTCTAAAACCGGATTCAAAGAGAGCGAGTACAATGGGATTAGACCGTGCCATTTGGTTGATAGTCCATGGCTTTGTTCAGCCGTCTTGCTGATGCTCATTGTGTACATCTGAGAAACGGGGGGGTATTTTTTGATGATGTTTACTTTCTCAGCATTAAAATCGTCTCTGAGCTTGAATTAAATCATTTTCTGGGCTGTGAACGTGTCTCCGTCTCTCACAGGGCCTTTTCTTTATCTCTCTTCCTCTAAGTGTGAATTTATGTAAGGGATAACCTCGAGTGTCATAAAGGTTGTATTTCCACTGTTCCACTTTTTCCACCACATCTTCTTTCAAGACGGATTAGTTTGGCTCTCTACATGTCTGCACCATATCCTGCATAAACATGTATGCATTGTATGTTACATAAGTGTAGTAGCTGTTTTCTGTATCCTCTATTATTTAAACATCTGGACATCTGAACCTTCCTGAATCTCCATGTTCATTCACTGCCTTTTTCTACAGGCTTCTACTCTCGGCCACTCCTTTTAGCTGAATAACCTCCGATAGTTGTTCTTCATCTATCCATCTGACTGAGGGGGGAGCTCCAGTCTATAGGCTGTATCAGCCTGTGAGATTATTTAATCTGACAGCAGAACAACAGATGAAAAAATATTAAATAATAGTATTTATAAGAAACATAATACAAGAAAACCTTGTTTTTTTATTTCTGTAACAAAACCAGATTGCATAAAATGGTACACTAACATGTCCTTCACTGTGGTGCCTTCTGGCTGTATGCCTGTCAGATCACGTACAGGGTAAAGGAAACTCATGCACAGCTATTACAGTGTTGCAGATGTGGAATGTTCCAGAAGAAATCTAGATCAGGGGGCGGATCCAAGAATTTTCTTTCACTTTTCTTAACATTCAAGACAGAGTTTTTCAACATTTTCCTTGATTTCTCACAGAAAAATTCATGGATCATGATAAAGAAAATCATGTTTAGAGGACTGATATTTATGAGTGTGTTTAATTTGGTGCAGATCCAACTTAAAATCCAGATCTAGTGAATTTAAAAGTGGTTTCATAAGAGGACTGTCGGGTCTGAGGTATGTATTCTAGTGAGTGCCATTCTAGTTTCTTTCTGTTGAGGTAAAGGATAAGCCAGAGTGTCTAGTTTAAGGGGACAAGCTTGCAGGGATGGAGAGGGTCCATCTGGAGTGTCACTACAGCTGGAAACATACATAAGTCCAGCAAAGGATAACTCAGTCACTCAAATAATCATCACTACTATCTGACATCAGATCCCTCACCAACGAGAAGCCGTTCCAGCCATCACACTAGAGAGGTTAGTCTGATGTCTGTTTAATGATTTAGTATGGCCCTTATGGAATGTAATACAAATTTTAAATTAAAATGACTGTTGAAAGGAGAAAGGTTCCCCACCCATGATCTAAGTCCTTCAAGTTTGTCTCCATAATACTGTTATTTATCTCATGGATTTATTTACCTCCTTCCATGACAAATATTTACCAATCAACTCTCCACTGAGGAGATTATCTACCTATTTACTTGCTTAACAACCACACAATGTTCACCAGTTACTAAATGTTACTGTCTGTCATTTGATGCTTGGCAGATGTTAGCGTAGTGGTTTATTAGAGCTTTTAAAAACAGCTGCCTGTCTGGAAACACTCATGAGAACAGTGAGTGTGACCAACAGCAGCGAGCTGGAAAATCCAAACAATGAGCTGAAAGACAGTAAAATGCTCTGTACAGCTGAGCATCTTTGATTTCATCACTTCAAGTGTCATCAGACACATATACATTGACAAGTAGCTTTAAATTTACTTCACTTCCAATGTAGGTAGCTTACAGATGTGGGCCATGTGGCAGTGAGTGTCAGGGAATTCATTATTTATATACACTCTAATTCCTTTACAACTGTGTATGACTTGTGCCTGACCTGAATTATTGAGCTTCATGCTTTAGATGAGATGTTTTATGATTTGTGTATACGTTTTATGTGCTGCACGTCTCAAGTGAGTGCTCAAGTCTGTGCCTTTGTGTCTAAGGGTCTCATTGCATTATCCATATCAGCAGATGGAAGCAGCTAGTGTGACTGGGTTTAATGGTGGAGCCCTGTGAATTGAGATGTTAGAGCTGGACAAAATGGCTGCTTCATTTCCTGGATCTGTCATATGTTGTGTAATGGAAGTGTTTAAAATGTGAAGGAGGACAACATGAGGAACATGAACATGACATTCAGAATCAATCTCTCAATCAGAACAGCCAGAGCTCTCAAGCAAGCTGGCATTCCCTGGACCACAGGGGGCAGCTTGCTGGAATAGAAAGCCACTGGGCGATAATTGGAACCATGTTTGTGGACTAGAATGCCCGAGGTGAAGCCATCGCCTTCATGTACGAATAGACTGAAAGGCATCGAGTAGTCGTGCAGACCCGGTGCTGGAGCAGTGGATAGAGTTGTCTGAATGAGTTGAACCATGCTAGGACCTCTAGGAGGTTATGAGATTACTAATATCAGTGTGACATTCTCACAAGGACAATGCTAACACACACTGATATTTAGTAGTTCATATTTACCATAGTCACCTTCTTAGTGGTTGTGATCATGGTTCCATGCTAGCTTCTGCTGCTAAGCATGAAAGTCAAACAGCTGAGGCTGATGGGAAGTTTTGACCTGATTTTGGCACAAGATGAAAAGTAATTTGTGTTTACTCACCAGTAAGCCTAATGAGAATGAAAACATTTACTATTCTCTTGGGAACTTGGCTGAATTTCAAATAGATTTTTTATGGTTACAGGGTGATTGATAGAGAAAGGCAGAGACTGATGGATCAGCAAGTAAGAACAGACTTACTGCCGCACCGGTGTAATGAAACTGATGAAGACATTCAAATGAAACTTCAGGATTCTATGGAGGAAGCAAATGGAGCACATACAGCTGGGACGTGACAGGGTTTGTTATGGATGTTTATTTGTTTGTGACTGGCATCCTCAAATAGTTTTCGCCTCCTTGGAGGCATTAATGGCAGTCATACATCACGGTGCTTGTGTCTCCCGTCGTGGTTGGGACAAGCGCAGCCCAACACAAGTTAATGATCAGAGTTTGCAAAGGAAATGAAGATGTATGAGTTTTGAGTGGGCATGTGCAGCCCTGAAGTAAAAGGAAATGCATCTGGATGAAAAATCATCCCTCCACGTTTACATCCCATCCCTTACAACCTGTTTGTCAGTTTATCCTGAATGATCAATAAACTCCTCTTCCATCTGCAGGATCATTTTCATCCTCAACTTCTTTCGTCCTAATGTCAGACAGAGGATATCGAGAGCTAAGTGCTGTAATCTGCAGACAGCTTGGTAAACAATTTTAAAAGTCCAATCGATCATGTTCATAAATATCTGTCAAAAAATCAAGTGTCACTTTGTCAAAAGGTTTTCTTAGATTTTTCTTTATAAACAAAGACTACTCTGGCTAAATATCTTTTATTATCAGTTAATGTGCTGATTAGTTTCTCTGTTAGTTATTTGGCTATTAGATGTAAGAAAATGTCCATCAAACTTTCCTACAGACCAAGATGATACTTTCCAAATCATTAGTGTTTTTTGAAAACCAAAAATATTCAGTATATCATTCATTATAGTATATTATTTGGTTTACAATATATAATACAAAGGAAAACAAAAAATATTCACATATGGGAGGCCGGAACAGTAAATATTTGGAATCTTTGCTTAACTTTTGCAGAACTTTTACACACCTTCGCCGAGAGCCAACATTCCCCTTACGAAACCACATTTTAATTCACATTTGTATTTGGATCTGCACCAAACTGTACTCACTCATGAATATCATTCCTCTCAACATAAATCTTTCTCTGAGATATCAACAAAAATGTCGAACATCATGAAACGGTTCGTATGATATCTTACAAAAACATATTCACACATTTGGGTGTATAATCCTTCCAATATGTCAATACTAAGACTCAGTGTGCCGTGCAAACCTTGGCAGTGACATTTTCAAGCAAAATGGGAGATTGCTTTATTCTTGGTTGAAAATATTTTAAGAAAGTTTCTGCAATAAAATAAGTTTTGATGATATTTATGGCCAGAGGTTTTATCTGCGTTTAGTGAATCCATCCAATGTTTAGTTAGTTATTGTGAAGATTTTTTAGGTTCCTCTTGCATCTGTGTCTCAAACCATTACTGCATCTTTCAACCAAGTTTCACTGTAAACCATGCAGTAGTTTTTGTGTAATCCTGCCTAAATAAACCAACAAAGACATAACCTCCGTGGCAGAGGTAATAAAATCTGATCTGGATGCAGGGTTATTGCATTTATATACATTCCCCACGATAAAAAATCATAAGAGAATCGTTTTCAACTTACAGCATTTATTTTCTTGAAGGAATGTTGTATCCTTCATTAAATATGTATGTACATTATTTACAGGTAAAACATATTTTACATGGCTTGGCTGCATGCACATTGTCATATACATAAAAAAAAACTGTAGACACATTTACACTCTTAAGAGGGAGTAGTCTGTGCGATAAAAGGCACACATGACCTTTGACCCTGCATTTATGTCCCATGAGTACATATTTCACAGACAGTGTCACAGATCGTATTACCACACTCACACACACCTGGAGGAAAAACTACTTGAGCAGCTGTAGAGAAGACGTGTGTTGCTGTGTGAGAGAGATTCACAGACGAGCTGAACAGCAGTGAAGTGCCCTGTTGATCAGCAGCCCTCTCCATTGTGTCTAAAAGCGATCCCATCCACTCAGCAGCCGGAGGCAATGTTGAAAGTCTTTTTAGCCACAATGAAAAAGTGAGTGGAGACATCATCCCACTTAGAACAGAATTCCACAATCTGCAGGACAATCTACAATCCTCTGAACACGTACAGATTCAGGATATTAAGTGAAAGATTATCAATGTCCTACACAGACAACACATGCTGTTTCTTTAAGGCAGTGAAGCCTGTTGGCTGAGGCACGAGGCTGAAGCTGAGACGCTACTGAAGCTTTTATTTTCTAGTAGTCGTACGATGGTTGGGCTGGGCTGGTTGGGGGAGTGGTAGAGGTGTTGAATCACAGTCAGTTTGACTGACAGCTTGACTCTACTCTGTGGATCAATATTGACGAGGCGGCAGACTGATTAAAGCCACTGTGCACTGAACTTTCAGCAGCCCATGTTTTGTTATAAAACCATTCACTAAATCCTGCCCCTGAACAGGGATTGTCCAATCATAGCTTAGTAAATGTCATCAGGTTTGGCAGGGATGTGTAGCTTTGGATTTCTTTACATGGTCAAACAATATGGAAGAGGCTCTATATGCTCATATTTTACAGTTGTTTGTAGAGACTTAAACAAAAATGTGAGGAATGTAACACTGTGTTAATCTGCTCTAGTTGTTCCTCCGCTGTAAGTTCCATTAGATAAAATCATGTGCAACCTATGTTAATTTAAATCACTGACATAAGCTGCAAACATTTGCATGTGAAGAAAACCAGATACTTGCTAAACATGTGCTTGTTATTACTGTTTCTTTCATCCTTTTCATTTGCATTACGTTTGAATAAAGTATGTATTAGTTTGCTTTTTGTATTTTATGTTTTCTTTTTTATTTGTCTTCTTTGTAAAGCACTTTGTTTTTAAAAGTGCAATATTATTATTATTATTATTAAATAATAATAAACTGTGTGTGCTGTCCAAAACGCAAAGAAATGACACGTATAGCAACAGCAATTCAGGAGGTCAGGGTTTAATGAATGGTCAGTTAATTTTGTGTGCCCAGTTGAGATCAGCGGCTTAATTTAGTTTTCCACTGGGTCTTTTTTCATCTAGCAGCTGGTGAAGCCTTTAGGGATTGGAGGGTTATTGATCAAATAGCACTTACTACATGTTCAATCCTTTCCTGAAAGAATATTTAATCACGTATGGTTTATCCCTGTAGTTGACTGCTGTAGAAGAAACAGGTTGGATTTCACTACCCAGTGTTCCCAGTTATATTGTTTATAGATGAATATGCTCAGTTTGTGATCAAGTCAAATGTCTTAAGGCAGCAGACAGACAGGGACGGATAGTTTTAGAAAAAATGGACAAGATGGTGAAAATCCCTTGTACGTTTGAAGTTCTACTGCACAATTTAAGTTACCAACTGCCATTAGATGTTAGCAGGTGTTAGCGACCACCAGCGGATGTTAGAGTCATAACTTCGGTTGTGCACCATAGCCTCAGAGTCTCCTGAGCATCCACAGAGGTTTGCAAGCTGCTCAGTCAAACTGAAGATTCACATTCTTGCATAACATCTAATATAAAAAAGAGGACTTTAAAGACAGGGACACTGGGGAGATTCTACCTCTTTACTGTTATCTTACATGTTGCATCAGCACAAACATTATTATCACTCAATACTAAAGCTACAGTAGATCTAAACATGTTTATTCTCCCAATACAATGTCAGTGGTTGGAGCCTTGTTTGGGACTCATCAATTCAGTCTTTGTAAACTAAGTCTAGAACTAGGCTCAATACATATCTGGAAAATAGCTTGTTCAGTATTCACAGCAATTTTCACTTTCCAAAGTGCATGTAAATCCTAACTTGAAGAGGTTACACTGAGGCCAACTGATGAGGCAGAAGTGAGTTAACCTCAACCGCCTCCGGTCTGTAATAAAAAGAAATGGTTCTGAAACATATTTACACTTAATCAAGTCATGAAGTGGTGCTGACAGCGCCTGAAAATCTAAATCTCACAGCTTTGGGTGGAGCTGATATGACAGGTTTCTGTTTGGCTCTAATAATACATCTTTTACACCACAATTAGTGGGTATGCATAGCTATTTAAAATATGGGTAAACCCGCGAAAAAGGGCGATTGACTCCTTTCCCACTGCCACTAGAGAAGCTTGCATCTCAGTTTTTCCCCCGATGCATCAAGTTAATCATCATAAAAGCCCCGAACACAAGGCGCTCTCTCACCTCCCTGTCTTTCCTAATTAGTGTGTTCACCCAGGTTTCACCTTTCCAGAGAGTCATCTGACCAGTGAGCATCTTTTGTGAAACACTACATTTGATGTATATTACTCTGACTGACTGTCCATCACATTTAGAATAGCAACAAATGGACAGATGCTTCTGAGATTCAGAGGTAATTCCAGTGTTCTATATTAGGACTGACAATAGAAGGAGGAAGTTGTCGCCCACTGAACTGTTGTGTTGTGAGATGTCCAAGCAACTGATGAGAGCCTCTAACATCATGCATCCTACGGCAAATATACAGGCACGGGGGGACATGTGAGAGGACAATAAATGGGAGTCTGTTTGAGTGAAATAAAGAGAGATTAAGGCTGTTTTAGCTTTGTTATCACAAGAATCACAGCACCGTCAGTTTGGCGAATTGGCACAGATAAATACATAGAGTACAGTGAAGGGCCCAGTGGAGTCTGACTTAAGGTTAAAGTAAACAACCCCTTCTGTTACGCAGGTTAATTTCCCTACTGATCACATTTTGTACCACTCACTCCAGACAAACCCCTACACAAATATGTCAAACAAGTAATTATGGTCAAAAATCAGTGCACATCTCTCAGAGTGGCAAGTCTTTCAGCTTTGGCCAGATTTGGAAGATAGTAATTTAAGATGTTTACATTTTGTACAAAAGGTCCAGTACATATATAGTAAATAAAGGGAGTGAAATGCAAAAGCAAAACTTCAAAATAAGTATTTTAGAAAGGGGTGATACACTGATAGTACCTTTTTTTTCTCAAAGTAAAAAAAACCGTCTCAAACAAGGCATTTGGTCGATTCAAAGAGCTACCTAAACTCACAGGGTCGACGTACATATGAATAAAATCATCCTTCAACAATTACCTGAGATTCTAAGTGTAGCAAAATATTCAAACGGAACGCTTCAACAAATCGCCACCCATCCACAGCCCCCCCACCCCAATATAAAATCAAAACCCACATGATTGCTTTTAGAGAGCGCCAGCAGCTTGAAACTTACATCGGATACTTTAAACATCAGCAGTGCATGCTCACTTATTGACGAAAACATACTGAAAGTTTTACAAACTTCCGCATCAACAGTTTTTTGCTGCTGCTTTATGATCCAAGCAGTTTTTTAGTTAAACTACACGTTTCTGGGTCTTTTATCAGGGCATTAAATCAGCAACGTATTTGTTTTTCTACAGAGGGGGAGACGTTTCAGAGGTAAATAAATGTAAATAACTGTGATATTTGATGCTAACGGACACGAGGTGGGTTTTTATACAGTGTTAAGACATCGGTATGAAAAGACTCTTTAAAAAGCTGTTTGTCATTTTGGAGTTAAAGAAGTTCACAAACTGAAAGAAATGTGAATGCTTGTGGTTCATATTCAGAGGCGTCAGACAACAAAAAGATAATTTAAGTGTCTTTTTGTTACTGTTGCATGTAGGTAAGTGTATGTACGTATGTATGTATGCATGTGCACAGCATGTGACTGCTGTATTGCTGAATTTGCTTCATTAAAAAGACACTAAAGTGAGGGATGTCAACACGTATCAGGTAAGATGTATAATCATCCACTGAAATCTTGTTTTTGTTTGTGTGTCCGCAGTTTGTGCATATGCACGTGTTGCCCACACATGTACTCTGCCACATAAACTATTTGTAGAGGAAGTTTCTTCCCGTCTTGAAATGTAGCAGCAAAGAGTGGGTGGAAGAAAAGTGAGATTTTAAATAGAAATCCCTCTCAGTTATATGACCTACTTTCACCCAAGTAATCTTGCCTGAAAAGCAGCCGGTAAAGCTGCGAGACCTCTGATTAAATTGGTTTTTCCCAGAGAAGTTCAGTAGCTGGGAAGGAGGTGGACTGTTGGGTAAGGCTGATCAGTCCATCACCGTCACTAATTTAAAGATAAGAGAGACATTGAGAGAAAGCCTTTACATGGAGGACAAATGGCAGGTATGTGCCACTGTAGGATGGTTGAGAATATGATCTGGCACTTTGGCCATGATGGAGTACCTAACGCACAAATGTTTGAGGCATGTTTACTGCAGGTGTGTACTATTTGTGCCATGTGCACGGTGTTTCCTATATTTTTTGCCAGTTAGCACTTCAGAGAGCAGACAATACAGCCTGGTCAGATTCTCTGGGGGCCAGTGCTACGTTAAGTTGTGCTACTGGACGTGTGCTTTGCTGTTTGCGAGGTCAGCAGCTAGACAGTCTGATAGCCAGAGGGCCACAGAGGACACATCCACACAGAGACGAAGAGCTGGGCATTTTTACTTCGACTGGTCAAGCACCAGGTGTTTTGTGCACGGAGACCCGTAAAATGTTTCTTCCCAGCTCACACCTAAGTCCTGAACAACTGAGGTAGGGAAAATAATAAATTAATAAAATAAAATACATTAAAAAAACAGGACTTGTTGAATGCAGTTAGGTTTCAGTGATGTACAGTGTAATTCTCCAGTGATATCAAAACTATCCACTGCCACCAACACACAGGGTATGAGCGTCCAGTGTGTTCAGTGTCAGAACAGCCACAACACTAATGAGCACAAACAGTCTTGAACGGAAACCAGAAGCTCCATTTGTAAGGTAGCGTCGCTCAGAGATTTAAATCCGGACCAAGTCTCCACGATCAGACAGTACATGAATACACGTGTTCATCTCTAACTGCTCCGTCAGGTTTCTGAAACCTTAGTGAAAGAACAGAAGGACACTTTTTTCTTTTCCTCACAACCCGAGACGGATTTGATGTGAGGAGAAATAGTGTTCTGCCTGGTGTATCCACGGCGAGGAAGATGTGGTTTATCTTGTCCAAATAGCATCACCCCTGGATGGCACTTTCAAATTGGCAGTAAAAACAAATCTGAGCGGCAAAGAGTCCTTTGCCTTTGGAAAAATATTCCACATCGGTTCTATCATTTTGACAAAGAAAAAATAACATGGAAACTGTGATTTCAGTGTCACATCTCATTACTTGAGGTGGTGGTTGAGAATGGAAACCATCATTTCAGTTGTCTTTCAGTCGTCACCTCTTCCTCCACAACTTTGACAACCAGATCTTCACTGTCTTGTCACTAGAATGAGAGAGAGAGAGAGAGAGAGAGAAAGAATGGTGGTGGTGAGACAAAACATAGGAAGAAAATAGCAGAACATCAATCAGGCAGTCTTTGCCACAAAGACACTGACTAAAAAATGCACTTCACACACGTATGCAAACAAACAACTCAATACAGAACCTTCCTCAAACACACTCTTAGAAAAGTGCAGAATAAGTTGGATCCGGAAATTATGCAACAAGTAAATCTAATCAACCACATCTCTGCTCCCAACAGAGATGCCAATTTAATTTTCTCTTCCTTTCTCATTCCCACAGTGCAGGACGTAAACACCTACTACACAGGAAAACATCACATTCTTCATTAACACTTAAATTAGCTTTGCACAGTGGTAGGTGTTCGGAGATATAAATGTCGTGTGGAGTGAATCCTGTCAGAAAGGCAATAGTGAAGGTGTTTGGAAAAATATGGGAACAGGTTATCTTGAGTTACATGAGACATTGTTACATCTTTCATGTCAGTAGCATGTTTCAGACATGAACTCCAGACAATTCCAGACATGCTCCTTTTACATATGAAGAACACAGGTGGAGATTGTTCACGACAACAGGAAATCTCTGGAGCGTTCAGGTGAGGGCTGGTCCCTGGGTCTTTGTCGGCGTCTTACATGTGTTTGCCACTTCTTCTTTATCCTGAGATATTTTTATTGTCGTCATTTTTCAGTTTTGTGTCACCATGTCCACTCACTTGAACATTCTCTGGAGACTTTGATTGTTTTTAATTGGGGGCCGACAGGAATAATTCTGTAGATTGTCCACAGCAACTGACTCGGACATTTAGGTTCTAACATGCAGCCTCATAACTTCAGGAAAAAGTCCTCAGTTTATTGCCAATCTGAGCAATGTGAAAGTGGTAGAGATCTTCTCATCAAACTCTCAGCCAGGAGGAAAATAACCATATTTCCCAAAATACAAAAAAGTACCAATAACCATTAACTTAAAATGAGCCACAGGGACAAGATTAATTAGATCTGCACACACAAGAATAATAAAATGTACTTTGTGTAGAACTGAGTCATTTGTTTAGCCAATGAAAAGTTGTTATAGCGGAGGCTGTGGTCTGCAAGTGAGTCAGTAACCACGATTTAAAACACAGGTTATACAAAAAAAAAAAAAAAAGATAGAAGAATTTGAGAAAAAAATTAAATAAGGACATAAACTGAAGAGGGGCAAACCGAAAAGTGCAGAGAGAGAGAGAAAGGAAAACAAATGTAGGGGGAAAAGAAGGTAGAAATTAGTTTAAGAGAGTACCAGAGGAGGGGAAGGTTGGTGAGCAGAGAGGAGGAAGATCACGGGAGGCTAGTGGCCCGGCCCTTGATAGCCAGGACGCGTCGAGGAAGACACGGAGTCAAGCCAGGCACATAGCTCCACAACTTCACCCTGCAGTCACTGGGGTCGACAAGAGGAGGGAGGAGGAGGAGTGGGAGGAGAGTAAGGGTGGAGAACAGGAGGAGAGGACGAAGGCAGAATTTCAGTGACCATACAGGCAGACAAGTTTGTCCCCAGAGAAGGTGACAGAAGAACAGGCAGCAAGAAAGAGTTGTGGGAGGATGAGAAGAAAGGTGAAGAAAGAAGACAAAGCTTCAGTGGAAGTCCGCTGGTTAATTGAGACCAGAGAGAATGAACAGAAGAGACCACTCAAAGAGGAAAACAAGCATTATCTTAGTTTGATGCAGCAAATAGAAAAACAAGATGCAGTGTGACCCTCTGAGCTGCATAAGACTGACACACACCTGCAGATTTATGCAAGAGAAGAATCAAACATGAATCATTATCTAGTCGTGGTCCTTTCATATTAAGTATGAGGAACATTTTCTCTGTACAGGTTTGTTCTGGCTTTCTAACAGCCTCTCAACGTTATGAAGCAGCTGCTTCTTTGTAACAGTTACTAAAACAGGAGTAAATAATGCAGTTGTTAGGGACTATTTTCAGCAGCAGATTAATAAATATTCAGTCTTAAATAAACTACAGTGCCCATTAAATTATAGTGGCAGAAAATATCAGATCAATCATGAGGCTTAGTGAAGTGTTTTAATGGTATTAAGATGATGGAGCTTCATGGTAAAAGGTAATAAACTGCATGAGGGTTTGGCGACTTGTTAGTAAGATTAATTATTTTCTGGTCTTTTCAGAGGATTAGTAAACAAGACAAAAAAAATGTTGAATCTTATCATCATCAGAAACAGTATCACAACACAACAGTATTGATCCCCGATGGGATCTTTAAATGCTTGTGTTTGACTCATTAAAGTTAGTAGTACTTCTGTCAGCTCAGTTTCATAGTAATTTGGTATAATCAATAAATAAGAATAAAATATTTAGACATAACAGAGTACTGTAACTTTATTTCACCTGGATGCAGTGAAGATCTGTCTCGAGTTGGTACATATGGCATTAATGGGGCTTTCGTGGCCCCTGACCTCTCCTATGGGGGTGAAGTTTTCCACGTTCCACACCTTAAGCATGCCGCCCCGACAGCCACTCAGCAGCATTGGCCGGCCCGGGACATACGCCAGAGCGCACACCCAGTCTTTGTGGGAGTTAGGGATTTGCTGTGGGGTGAAGGCAGAGAGACATCAAGAGTCAGAAGGATACAAATACTACATGTTGTGTTTCTACATCAACACAACTAATCCAGTGGTTATAGAGCAGTTGTGTTAATGAGTCCTCTGGGTTTTTGTGTTCTTAACATTCCAGGAGAAAAAGTTATTTTATTCGTACACTTTTAATGGATATAAATTATTTTCAGTAAATCAGCACATTTCCTTGAATCCATATGTAAGTACTTGAGTTAAACGTCTATTTCTAATGTGTAATATAATCATCACACTGACATCAGCATCTATTTAATAATCAACAAGTGAGCTGTGGTACAAAATTTTTAATTTGATCTTTATAGGGTATTTGAGAGTTTGCTTCCAAATGAATGCTGTAAACTGGCTTTTCTTTTTTTTGCCATCATATCAAATTCTGCATAGATCCAAATGCCTTTGCACCGCCTTACACTCCAAAAGCACCATTTTCTGTTTTTTTTCTTGTTGAGGCTGCAGCTCAGCTGTAACTCACTTCAGAACCATGCTTCTGCTGCAAGGAACAAACTGTAACACACTGACAAAACATCCCGCAAATATATTAGCTTCTAAATAGAGATCATGCTCTTTATTTTCCTATATGTGGTTTCTCCGCCAAATAAACAGAAAAAAAGAACAGAGTGAACCACATCTGTGCTGCATTGGTGAGACATTCAACATTATGAGTCCAAATACTGTCAATGTCTTAAAGTACAGAGCAAACATTCACATGTGGCCTTGTCAAACTTTTATTGTGTCACACAGTTTTCAGTTGTTGTGTTTGTCTATTTGTTTCATCTAATTGGGCTGAAGATGAAATTAGACTGAACACACGCACTAAAAGATAACTTTTATTACACTTATCTTCTTTGTCCTATTAAATTTGCTTCTGACAGTTGTTATTTTGAAGTTGCATTTTGAGATTAGAATGTAATCAACCTAACACTACAGGTTATTTTCCTTGATTGTTTTTCATCAGGTATCAGACAAACTAATATGTTTGCTGTTGTAAATGTTTTCAAGTGACTCAGTCTGATTCTTTAGGTTGTAAAGCAGTAAGTTATAAAATCAGTGTCTTCATTATTTTAGCCACTATTTTAGCAAAAAGTGATTTAAATATTGTGAGTCACACTATCCAAAAGGCTGCAATTTACTTTGTAGCTCACAATTTAGATAACCCACTGCTTTGAATAGACAAAGGTGCATACAAAACAGCATGACTCAGTAACTCAGGAATTTGTAAATCACAAAACAAGATAAATTTGATTAAACATTATCTTGCTGTTGCCGGACGGAAACTGTATTTAACTAGAAGGGCACTCAGAGAGCGCATACCTCCACCGAGGCTGATTTATCACCATATTGCTTTAACATGAAATGAGATCAGATGCATCCAGCTGATAATCCCGATCTGCATTATTTCTGGAGAAATTCACAAAAAGATGAGAATCTCACAATGCTCATGAAAATGAAAAAATTAAATCCACTCTAAAAGGTAATGGGTTCTTCTTTGATGCATTCAGGGACATCTGTTTTCCTGCCCGTTTTCACTTTATTTGGAAAATGTGATATGTCTGCAATAAATATTCCCACACACTCCATACTGTTAAAATTGCAACTTCCTTTGCAATAATGTCACACTGCATTGAACGTATATGGTTTTAGTTTTGTATTGTATTCAACTTTTTTTAGAGTAAGCTCTTTCTACCTTGCCTTTAGTTTAATTTAACTCTTGCACTGCTGAGCTCACCGGGTTGCTAACACCTTTCAGACCCTGTGTTAACTGCATATGACAAATAAAACTTGAACTATCCCACCCTTTTCAAGTTTCAAGAAAATCAGCTCAGTAATTTGGGGTGATCCTGCTGAAACACAGACAAAGCAATGAAAACATAACCTCCTCGGCCAATGCAATAATTACATTGCTGTCTGTAATGTAAACAGTAGTGTCTAGACAGCAGGTAGAATGAACCTATGGATTCATGTCATTCATGACGTAACAGTTGAAGTCAGTGTTCCTTCCTTGCTGCAACAGTCGAACACACACAAACACAATGGTACTGAGCTTTCTATAGAGCTTATTATTTATACTAACTCACTCATGAGCCTTAAAACCTGGCTGGACAGCTACTATCTTATTATATATGAATGAAAATGAGGCCACGGGTACATTATTACACTGATATTGAAAAACAAAAGAAAGACAAAAGGCAGTAATGAGCATATGTCTGTGTAACAACAATAAAACAGGTTAAACCCAAAGATGAAGTCTGATGACGTTGCATCTCTCGTATCTAGGCAACACAGGAAAGGTACATTTCACAATTTCTGTTTTTAGTCACTTCTGTCCATTAATTATTATGGACATGTGGCATCAATGATCACGCCATGTTGAGTATCATTTAAATTCAGCTTTTATAAACTATCAAACATGAGTCTTGTTAACATATGAACATACCTGTGACTCAAGTCTAAATAACATATTCCCATGTTTACCCACTTTACATCTGTTTGTGGATTATGTGAGTACCAGAATTTTATCATTATCAATTTGGAGCTACCTCTGGTTTAATGACCAGAAAACTGGGGTGACTGGATATGTGTCATTTAAATGTGGAATCTGTTGTTCAGAGAAGAGAATTCATGAAAAACAAAAGCCAGTCGGGAGAGGCAGTTCAAAGACAGACACCCCACTAGTGTTGGATGGAACAGAAGCTGTAGATGAGGAATAACAATTGCGAAAAATAAAGAGAAACTTCTCACACACGGTACATCTACCTCACTATCTCTAACAACTTTCCACCAGGGGGTAAAAATGTGTTAATGCTCGCCAACACCTCGGAAAGAGAAACGCTGCACTGCTGCAACAGTTGCGTAAGCGTGTCCACAAAACCAGAAAAAACACAAACTTTAAATTCTTTTTCACAGTGTATATTAAGATGTTTATCAAGCGAATGGGAATCACTAAACTTAAAAACGGAGTAATTATAAACAAATTGCTTCACATATTCCCCCAAGAAACACACTATGGTGTATGCATTTTAACAGAGGAGGTCAGAGCCGAACAGCTTGCACCAGCATCCTGGAGCCGGCAGAGTTTTAGAGTCTACTGTAATATATTCTATTACACCCCGAGCCACTATTTGATCTGGTTACATAATTAGACAGCGCCTTCTGCATTAGAGAGACTTTAAAACTGTTTGTATTGATGTTTGCAAATGAGATTATGGTTGTTTACCACAGACCACAACACTGACTATGTAGATCTAATGTAGTCTTTGAGTAAAAATAATATGATTTTGTTTTGTCTGTTTGGGGAAAAAAAAACAAAGGCTAAACAGAACTGATGCAAACAACCTGAGAAAGTGCTGCTTAATATGCATATTACTGTGGATGCAAATAAGTCAGCCACATCCACCCACAAGGTGCATCCTTATGCATTATTAACATATCCAGGCAATAGAGGGTACACAAGAGAATTCACACAGACACACACACACAGAATGACTTTCCTCTCTGGTACCTGTGGCTATGGTGCGAGTGGGCTCTAACTCTCTGATGTTGACACAGCTCTCTCCTGCCACATTACACATGATGACACTGTGTTAACTCTCTCCACAGAGGGGGGGCACTCTGGTGGCAGGAAGCCATCATCCAACTCAACACTCTACTGGCAACACAAGTCTTTACCGTCATAGCCAGTCCTGAGTTATTGAGTTAAATACAATCTCTGCTTATATGTGCTCAGTTTAATATGACCTGGTTAAAAGTGCTCTGACCTGTGTGTTATTGGAGTAATTTTTTCTTCTGTGAAGGGAATCACCAAGATCATCCAAATGTCCACAATAAGACAAAAACCAATTAACCAATTTCACTTCACTTTTTCATTCTGACATATATGTTGACATTGGCCAGTGACTTGCTGGTGCAGGTAGAGGAGTAATTAATTAGTATAACTCCACAGTAAAAACAGTACAGCCAAGTCAATCTCAAAAAATGCATGCTACTATTTCTGTCACCATTTCTGTCTCCCTCCTTTTCATGTGTAGTCAGTCGGGGAACAAGTTATTCAGAAAACAGGACTGCATTGGTTTGACCAATCAGATTTGAGCAGGCTTTTATGCCACGTAGGTAATCACTCCATGTGGAGAGCAATATATGTGGAACATATTGATCGAAATGCATCGGCCATTGGCTTTTTTATTTATCTGCATGTATATGCAGCTAATATAGAGATCAGCTTTAATGCTGTCTTAACCTAAAACAGCTACAAAAAGTATCACTGTTCATGTTCTGTGTTGAGAAACATTCAACTTGTGTGATAAAATTAACTAGTCTGTAAACAGTGTGCAATTAATGGAAGAGGGAGTCTTGGCCTGGATATCTGTCTATGCCGGAAGCACTAAAATATTAGCTGTTGCCCCAGAGAGCACTCAGCAGTTACATCAGCTGAGAAGACCATTCTGGGTGTTCTTGTGGGAGAAATCTCGAAGGGAGATGACATGGGTTTAAATACATGTTTAATACTTTTAAATATACATGATGTTACAGCCTCTAAAAGCTGCTTCTAACATCATCCATTGATGTGAACATCAAGCAGCAGCTACCACATTTGTAGAGAAGTCCAGGATTCCAGGAATCCATTGTGTTCATTGCCATTTTAATACAGGAGGGTTAACATGCATATCACTACTGATTGGGAAATTCATCTGATACACCCACCACATGAAAGAGAACACACCTCGAGGCATGTTGCTCATCATTGCAGACCATTTCAAGCATGTCATTCAACATGGAGAGTGTGGCAAAATAGTGCAAAACATTTTGATATGCCCCAACATTTCTAATCCAGCCCTCAAGACTTTGACTGGTTATTTTTCCAGAAGGTGGAAACAAACATCAATGTTTACAACAATAACAAATCTTAATTTCTGAAAAAAAAGCTAAATGTCTTTTTGATAAATGACTTAATTAAAAAAATTAAAATTAACAACAGTCCATAAATGTGATAGAGCAACCTTTAAATTTGGCATTATCACTGAGAAGAAGGATATAACCATAATTACTGTTTCTGGCCTGAAGCCTGTGCTGGCACTGCATCAGCACGGCATACCTTATATGAAAAACTAGCTTTGCTCACCAGATAAGGGTCAAGAGATCATAAATTAAAAGCCTCAGAGAAGGAGGGGTCTCTGTATGTTTCTCCCTGCAGGCTGGTGCCACATAATCTCAAAAGCAGCACTGAACACAGTCAAGCAGGCATTTTTAAAACTTTGATATATGAGCTCCACATTAAGATAAATATAAAATCATTCTGCTCCCTGCTTTACTCTGCTGAGCCTGCTGACCTCACATACTGTGTAGAGGGCATCAATGCACACAGTGTCTTAGTTATAGAGAGCAAATGTATATTATCTTCACACATACACTGGTCTCAGCGTGACAACATACACACACACACACACACAC